CGCCGCGCGCACGCGCCCTCCGGCCGCCGCGCCTGCGCGCCTGGCGCCCTGCGGCCCGCGCCATGAAGCTGCTGCGGCGCGCGTGGCGGCGCCGCGCGGCGCTGGGCTTGGGCGGCCTGGCGCTGTGCGGCGCGGCGCTGCTGTACCTGGCGCGCTGCGCGTCCGAGGGCGGCGCGGAGGCCGGGCCCGCCGCGGGCGCCGCGCCCCGGGCCTCGGCCTTCCTGGCCGTGCTGGTGGCCAGCGCGCCCCGCGCCGCCGAGCGCCGGCGCGCCGTGCGCGGCACGTGGCTGGGCGCGGGCCGGCGCGGCGCGCCCGGGGACGTGTGGGCGCGCTTCGTGGTGGGCGCCGCGGGGCTGGGCGCCGAGGAGCGGCGCGCGCTGCAGCTGGAGCAGGCGCGGCACGGGGACCTGCTGCTGCTGCCCGCGCTGCGCGACGCCTACGAGAACCTCACGGCCAAGGTGCTGGCCATGCTGTGCTGGCTGGACGAGCACGTGGCCTTCGAGTTCGTGCTCAAGGCGGACGACGACTCGTTCGTGCGGCTGGACGCCGTGCTGGCCGACCTGCGCGCGCGCGAGCCCGCGCGCCGCCGCCGCCTCTACTGGGGCTTCTTCTCGGGGCGCGGGCGCGTGAAGCCCGGCGGGCGCTGGCGCGAGGCGGCCTGGCAGCTCTGCGACTTCTACCTGCCCTACGCGCTGGGCGGCGGCTACGTGCTGTCGGCCGACCTGGTGCGCTACCTGCGCGGCGCCCGCGAGTTCCTGGGCGCCTGGCACAGCGAGGACGTGTCGCTGGGCGCCTGGCTGGCGCCGGTGGACGTGCGGCGCGAGCACGACCCGCGCTTCGACACCGAGTACAAGTCGCGCGGCTGCAGCAACCAGTACCTGGTGACGCACAAGCAGAGCCCCGAGGACATGCGCGAGAAGCAGCGCACGCTGCAGAGCGAGGGCCGCCTCTGCCGCCGCGAGGTGCAGCTGCGCCTCTCCTACGTCTACGACTGGTCGGCGCCGCCGTCGCAGTGCTGCCAGCGCCGGGAGGGCGTGCCCTGAGCCGGCGGGCCCGCCCCGGGCCGCCCGCCCGCCCAGCCTGCGCCGCTGTGACCCGCCCGCCGCCATCCATCCACGCGCACCGAGGGGCGGGGGACCTCGCTTGGCGTCTCTGGCGGGGGTCTTTCGTCTTGTGTAAGTCTGAGGCCGGAGCTGGCGTGACACCGGCTCTGGGACGGGTCTGTGGTCCATACAGTTCAGGTTGCCTGTGAGCTGTTTATAAATACTGTCCATGTGTGTAGATAAGAGCTTCAAGTTGGTTGTATGCAGGCCTCAAGGCTTTTTATTATTATTATTATTATTTAAGAGAAGACAAATCAGAACTTGAAATCTGTGGGTTAATCTGTTAACAGCCCGAGTGGCCGCCCCGGTGTGTTTAAACGTTGAGGAATTTTTAAACTGTCCATTCCTCTTTTAAGTTTATACATAAGTCAGTCCCTTTGTCTCTTTGTGAACAGACTTTCCTTTTAAGGCCTCTACACAGTCCTTCAGATTCTCCCTTCCTCAAACAGCCCAAGTTCCAGGAATCTCAACTCTTGTGTGTTGACAAGCCTTCCCAGATTCTGTCTTAAGAAAACATGATTTTCCAGCTAATACTCGACCACATAAACCTTAACAGCACTGTTAGCACACACACACACACCATTTAATGTGCTGCTTGCACAAAATAGCTTTAGCACAAAACCTCCTGGTCTTTTGTATTTGTTTTTTGGCTTTTTGTAACAGTCTCA